CAGCCGCATAAAGAACAGCGGGAACATGTGTGGGCAGAGTTGATTGCTGTAAAAGAGAATCTCTACCGAAAGCAATACTTAAATGGTAAAATATCAAGGGAATCAGAATAATTCAATCAACGTTGTAGGGCCAAACACACCTGATGACCATGACAGAGAAAATGTGTTATATGCTCTGCATCAGTTAGAGACATCTGCGGCTTATCTTCAACAACGATTGTGTATCGGGTAGGACGAGAAGTACCCTAAAACAGTTTTCACGGTAATGCATCAACCTTGGTGAAAACGCAGCGCTATTCAGGAAAGTTGCGGTTGTATGAGGGCAAGTCAAAGCCAGAATGGAGACTAAGAAATATTTGGACGTTACGGTCAATTTACATGGTAGTAGAACTCACAATGTTAGCCTGTTGAGATGTCATAATGAACTCTCGTAGACGTGGATGAGTAATGCCAGTGTCTGCACATGTTCCAGACGGAACGTTGAGATCTGAGGCTCTCATTCGACCACCGTTGGCAGGTGGCATTGAGGCCGGCATTATCCTGATATGGCATAAGTAGCAAACAAGTTCAAAAATTTGCAAGTGTTTCAACTAACCTGTAATTGCTGTTAGTTTGTGCGACGACGATAGTAATCTTTGGACGGTATGGTCTACCACCATTTAGATCAGCCATTCTTTCAGCAACCGCGCGAATATCATTTGCTTCTTTTCCAACCTAGTTTTCAGATCAACTAACAATGATTGTAAAAGAAATCAAATTTATTTTTTTCAGTTATAGAAACTTAGTAGAATACCTCAGCAAACTCTCCTTCACTTGTACCCGATCTGTACACCATTACTTCCACAGGTAACCGTTTGTTTTTCTTGTGATAATTCAGGAAAGCCCGGCGGAAGTGATCTTGAAGATATCTGAAAAGTAGAAACCTGATCTTCAATATACGCAAAAAAATATGAATGGAATCAGTGGTGTACTGTGGATGTTATGGTAGCTTAAGTTCAGCCTGAAACACTCAACATCTAAAGATAGAACACAGAAATGACATAAATTATCTACAAATACACAACTAGCCCTGCAACTGCACTCACAGAATATTGTGTAACCTTGGCTCTTGATACCACCAAAACCCAGAGTAATCAGTAGGTTGACCCACAGAGTACGAGAACTGTAAGGAAGCAATGTAGGAGAGATGAAACCTTTCAAAGATGTTAAATTTTATGATAATAATACTCACTCCAACTACAGTCGGCTCTTTTACCTTCTCCGCTACTTGGCGGTCGTACAAACTCTGCGCTGCTGCGTGTGAGAGCTCAAATCCGACGAACATTTTACCATTGAACAAACGCCCGTTTCTGAATTTATTACATTCCATGGTGTATGTGCATATGCAATATTCTTTAAAAAAAGACCCAAAAGTGCTACCCTTACTATCACTGAATACACCTAGTGTCTCCCCTGAAAAAAAGCACAGACCTTGGAACCTTGGCAATGATCAGCAACTTCAGCATTAACAGATATTTCCACCTATGGAACAAAAAGAAAAAGACCAAAAAAAAAACCCAAAAAAATACTCACATGTCTTGTTGAGTAGTTCCACCGCCAAGAGCCGCTCTGGCAGCAGATATAATATGGTTAACTCCGCCATTTTTCACATTGAATTTCAGCAGGACATTTTCGAGAGTCTGCAACCAGAGGATATCCTCTTCTATTTTCAACTAAGCGTAACTGCTTAATCATGGTGATAACCAAAAACGAACCTTCGCCCCACCCCTTCCCGAGCAGGCCTGCGCGGTTTGCCTGGAGACATGCTGAGTGAGCACTTTGTGTCTTGCTTCTAGCAGCTTGACGAAATCTGTAAGCGAAGGTTATGCAGGAATCTAAAAGAGATATGATCTAAGCCATGCTAGGTTCTTTCTCTTACCATGTACGGGATCTTTTTTTTCCGCAGTTATGCACATGATCATTGAGACCTTTCCGGCACAAGACCTAAACAGTTCAAATACAAATCTCTCAAAAGAAAGCGACAACGAGCACATCTCTAGAACATTTTCAAACCACCCAAATTAATTATGATATGAAGTAACCTGAAATGTTCCTCGATTTCACTATCGAGCTCTGAAGACAAATTGGTGACTTTCACGCTGTTATCCTGCACCACCATACCGCGTTCTCGCCCGGCTCTAGCTAACGCACGATAAAATTCCCTGAATTCCATAAGTTTGAAGGCGAAGAATAGAGCAATAAGGTGAATATTATAATTGAGTGCCTCTTGCAAATCAGTTCTACCAGGACTTCATTAAAAACTGATAAAGTATTCGGCAGCACATTTGACATAAACGCTGACTCGAATCATAAACAAGTCATTGCTTTCAAAATGTCGCAAATGATGCAAAGAGTGCTCAGCCCCATTCTTTCCTGCTAAATTAACTCCACCTCCCAGAAATTCTCGATGTTCGCATCAAAACTGGGAAACGAACTTACATAGCATCATTATTCGACACAGCCCTATCGAAAATCACCAAGGATACGTCTCCAACCGTGGCGGGCTGGTAAAATTTTACAGACGAATTCATTCGCCACTGTAACGTTCCAATCCTGTCTGGTTGTATAGCGCTACAAAACACGAACTTGAGAAATATTGACTACAAGGAGATTAGGAGATTTACACAGTGCAAAAATAAACACATTAGAGTCAACTTACGAAGTTTTGTATTTGATCTCTGGAGCACACAACACTTTCGCTTCGCTTTTCACAAAATCGTTGGAAGTGTTGACCTGTAGCAGAATGAAGTAAAACAGAATTAGAACTTTTATATATCTTAGACCTCACAAACAACTTGCCTCGAAAACATTTAAATTTGGAGCTCACCTTCTCACAATGATTGCGCATTAGATAGAAAAATAAAATTACTACTAACCCCAAATGCAGCAAGATACTCATTTCTGCTGTTCACTAGATCCGCTTGGTGTAGTTGACGCAAATTATGCTCACGCATTTGATGAGGCAGCATACGAGCTTGTTGAATCATTTTATCAGTCTAAAAATGTTGGAGATTGGAGGGAACAAAAAACAAGATTAACACCGCACAAGAGAACTCACGAGTTTCCCGGCCAGCTTCTTGTTATCTACACGTTGACCTCTTTCAATGCATAGCACCTCCAGTGGGTAAAAACTAAAACCTTTTCCTTTGCGTTCTGTAGCCAGCGGAAGGTGAGGATATCGCAGGCTGCGCTTATACCGCTGTTTGAAATATTCCTCAACAGATATTTCACCTTCATCCGTCTCGAACATTTGACTGAAAAATCATATTCTCAAAAATACGGTAAGAAAAGATAAAAACTGTTTCACGAAGTAAGCCATTTATCTGGAGCAACTAAACAACTGAGAATCATGTGAAGGATTACTTACTTCCTAGCACTATTGTCCACAATACCATGGATGTAGAACCAGGTGTTCTTGTCCTGATGAGTCGTGGACACAACAAGATCTGCAAAAGTTGACGACACATTGCAAGTAAGCGAAACAAACATACTTCTCATTTGGGCACAAGACCTTAAAATTATATGCCTGACATTCTTACCGCGCAGTTCACGAGCCACCTTCTGCCGTATGGGCTTGAACTTTAAAGCTTCATCAGGGTCTCGATTAGTGAGCTCACGAATAAAGTCCAGTACAGACTGGCCGCGATAGAATGGAGATTTCTTGGCTATAAGTAGGAACTCAATGCGAATGTCCACAGAAGATTACAGACAAAAGCAATAAGAAGGGAAACGGAGAAAAGAAAAAGATGTAAACATGAGTCCATGTGATTGTATACGAATACATAACGCACGATAAATGAAAAAAAANAAAAAAAACGCTAGATAAACTCCAAACCAGCTGATTAAACAACTAGAAGCAAAAAAACAGTGGATTACACTTACTGTCGATCTGCAGCACCGGAACTGCACTGCGTTCATCATTCCCTAGGAACCTATAATGAGCATGATTTCATTAGAAGAACTTGCTATAGGAAGAAAGTGATCTCTCTCACGATCGTATAAAAACCATACCTAACATTCTTCTCGAAACCGCTTTTTACACATTTGCCCTCTCCGAGCTTGACATCATTGTCAGCACGACCCTCGAAAAATTTATTTGCGAAGACATGGTGATCACTAAAACGGCATAAAATGAGCAGAAACATGAACAGGGACACAAAATGAGCAGAGACATGAGCAAGAAAAGAATAAATTAAGTTTATTAACTCTTAACAATTTCATTTATCCATCAAAGGATCCACAGAATATTGCAAACAACAACAATTACGGCAGTAAAGGGCCAAAACATTAGGCATGAAAAAACGGAAGAGGATTCTCACCCATTATATACTTATTCAGCTTCACAGCCAAAAAGTGGTATGATGAGGAACAAACCTCTCAACCGAAACGAAAATAAAAGAGAGAAAACGCTGATGGAAGATTGAAAACGAACCTGCTGAAGATAGACTGACTAGTCAAGATTTCAAAGAATCGCGCAGCTTCCCGACGAGTGCCATCATCCTCATTTTGCTTGGGACCTTTGATGTAAATCTAAAAATCGCTTTCAAATGAGGAATAAGGGATCTAATTATTCATGGTAAACGGGCACCTTTCCTGTCCACTGTACGGTGATGATAAGCTTTGAGCATCCCCTCGAAAAGAACTCCCGGCTGCGTTTACAATTGATTGCATCCTGGAAGCAAGTATTGGAAAGACTCTATGAGATCACCGAGGTTTATTTTGAAGCGCTTCTTTCTTCCCATCCAAGCCCTTTCAGAGATGGTAATGGCCCGCAAGTCATCAAAGTAGCTAATACCAAATTACTGCTCTAAGAGAACCCATCACCGTTGTACCTCTATGTAAGCATCTAAGTTCCACCCGAAATGAAAAAAATACGCAGAATCGAAGCTAGATACATAATATAATGCTACAACATTGGCAGAATTATATGATAAGGAATTCAGTCAGGAATTAAATCTCACCGGTGTCATTTCAAAAACGACATCACCATCATCCTCCTTGATTTTGCAACCGATGGAGTAGAAGGTGTTCCCCAGATCGTACACATGCCTCCAGCTATTCTCGCCAAAAAATTCTGGATGTTCAGAAACAACTTGACCAAATAATGCAAAAAGTGCTTGTTTACGTTGTGCCGAGGGTAAGCTGAAAAATTAAACCTTACAGATTTGCTGGCAGGGCTACTCAAGAAGATGTCGTTCTTACTCTTGTTTAGGTCCTCTTGTCGCGTCTTTCTCGTCACCGTTGCGTTTAACTTTTGTTATATTGATGTGATACCTATGGACAAATTCAGGAGCGTGTGACAAGTCCAAAGTGACTCCGTTCATCTCAATAGCTAGGGTTCTAGGCACGACGAAATCACATCGACCTCAAAATCATCAGAATGTTGCAGTCTATGCGGCCAACGGCACAATAGCTCTTATCATTCTTTTCTATTGCTTCAACGATCTACAAAATTAAGTGGTTTTCAGATGGAAATTACTTGCCTCTTGCGTCAACAACCTGTTTGTACTCCTGCTTGTATGGCCTTTCTATAGTATAGCTTCTCGTTTCATCCTTACCTGCAATGCGTTTCAATATTCCCAATATTTACTATCGACACCCAACAGAATCAGAAGTGCCTACTTCTAAATCTAAATACTTCATCAACTTACATTCTCTTTTCAATTTCTCATCCATCTCCATACGGCAAGAGCTTGCTGGTCGACTTTGTGATGGCGAAGGGCTAGGCGTAACTCTTGAAAGTGGAGAGCCTGTCGCCATGCTGCTAGCGTTTGACTGTGCATTTGGCGTCTTTTTCGGTATCCGAAAGCTCGGTTTAGGGGTAGCGGGCGAACTATCGGGTGTTTCTGTCTGTAAGTACAAACGAGCAGTCATTTCATGTACAAAATAAGGTGATCAGACACACCACTGCAAGTTAATCTTGTCATATTTTCGATGTATTGCATATTCTCTTAGTAATCATCCATCTTTCTCAGTGAATATGGCTCTCATGGGTGTGTGTACGATTTGAAGTGCGCGCGGCAAGTTGCGGGCGAAATTCGTGGCGATCTGGACGATTCTGGCGCCTATTATTGGGACACAAACTTGAAGTAGAGTAGATTAGTAGGGTCAGCTGTTACTACAAACCTACTCTTCTCCAAATTTTGGCACTAATAATAGGCGCTAAAGCCGTCCGAATCGCTTCGCCGTGCAATTTGCCGGGCGCACTTAGAATCGCGCGAATCTATCGTCCCCCGCCTAAGGTTTAGAAATGAAAGCGTGGAAGGGGCAGAGGAATTTTGCAGTACACACTTTTCATGTCATGCCTAATATTTAAAAAACAAATGACACGATAGAGCACTTACCTTCACTTCTTTCTTCAGTACCGGCTTCGGCTTCGATTTCCACAGCTCTTTGCTGGTAGTGTTCATCATAGACGTTATGTTATCGAGTAAATCCATTATGATATGAGAACTGAAGGCAGGATGTCTTGAGTCAAATTACTTATGAAAGCGCGAAACGCGTTGAACGAAGCAATTGATAATACTCAGAGCAGAAAAGTGCGTAACGGAAGTTAGGGTAATGCCAAATTCATGAGTTCAAAGCATTACGATAACAAATATAATATAAATAAACAAAGAACACAGGACATGGCGAGTAAAAAATAAATAAACAAACAAAGACTTCATCGATATATGCACAAGAATGCGCATTTTGAGGCAAATACGTTTCCTTCCTTCGAAAGACGAAAACTAAGTAAAAGTTTAACTAGTAGAATAGTAAGTGCGGAGTTTCTGCTATATGACAGACAGAATAACGATAAATAACTGTTTTTGTAATAGAACCCACAGCCTAAGTCTCGCTCTTGACGTGGTTTTAGGTAAAATGCGGACCACGCTTTGTTATGTTCCCGCTTGACCTCACGTATCATTATAAGCGTCCCCAAGTTAGAACGCAGTCTCAGATTGTGAGAGCGACGAGGGATGGGGTCGTTGACTTAGACGACGATAAGGTGAGGGAATTTCTCTGGAGCCTCCCGACGAAGTCTCGAAATAAATCCTGCGTGAGTCAATCGTCACTAATCTCTACCATCGAGCGGAAAATCTGCGGTTCTCAAGGATTCCACTCCGTCCTCACTCCCTTTCCCAATGCGCACAGACAGATGTAGGAAAACTGGTCCTTCTTGGCAAAACAAAACAGCTGTCGGTGACCTTTCGACACGAGATATTACTCAAGCACACACAGAAAATGTAAGGTATAAGGGGTATGCGTCTGATTAAATGGGGATCAAAAGGAAACGAACAAGTAGATGTAATTCTACAATCCTCGACTCCTAAGAAGTCAAAAGAACTGAAAACATTTCCCATCGTTCTCGTTCATCCAGGCTTGAGTATAACCAACGGTTAACAATGACGAGTAGCTTTGAAGTTCATATGTATAACAAGAAATTGTGTTTTCTATTGTCTTTTACTAAACCATTACATAAAACACAAGGGAACGTTGTTAACTGGGATTGATCGCTCGAGCGATCGACCCTCCGCTGGCCGGCTCGACCAGATAACCGTGTGTAATGAAAGGGAGGCGCGTAGGATTTATGCGTTTGGCTGCGTTCCAGAAGAATTGAGTAGATGAAGATAGAAGAATTGGACAATTAGCAAAGACTTACACGTTTTACAGCCGGCGGATTTTGTTGTACAGTAATCGTTCACTGAAATGCGATATATAACCTTAAAGCTTTTGATGTTGACCAGCCTCGTAATTGAGAAGGATTCGGCTCCGATTTAGCATTGAAGAGGTGGTATGAACACGTGAATAATGGAGGCCAGCTGACGTAAAAGTCAGTGCCTTCATCCTCTCAGACGAGTCTGGTACCGATTGGACGATCCCGGAGGGATGGAGGACTTGGTTGGCCTAAGTGGATGTCGATCCAGAGATTCGAATCCGTAACCATGCGTGTGTGATAGTGTGACACCAGCCGCCACTACACCACTTCGGGTGTGGAGCAGTATGATCGGAATTGTCGCGTCGCGGCGAGAGAGGAGCCACGCGCAAAGGAACGTAGTAGAATGCAGCAGCAGGTAAGAAATATGTACAGGAACAAAAGAACTAACAGTAGAATCATACCAAAAGTAACAATCGCACAGCGATTGAGCTGTATGAAGAACGCTACAGCTGTTATAACCAGACAAATGGTCCGCGACAGCCGCGTGCGGCTTATCGATTACATAAAACCGTTCCTCCTTCCTGTCTTCCCACCACTTCGGTCCCGAAATGCAATATATTATGAACAACCAACGTAATATAGATCGATAAACGAAAGAACGAAATCAATATGATTGCTAGTAACACTGATTAAGTAACTTTCTACAACAACGACAACAGTATTCCGCCAATATCGCCACCCGCTGGGCAGTTGCCTGAGACGACTCAGAATGCGAGAAAAAAACCTGTTGCGCAATAGTACTAGGAAGGGTAACGGGATTACAGTATGAAATTGAATCCGTACTGGATTTCAACACTTCGGATACTGGTTATCGACTTGGGTTAGCCCTATCTTCACACCTTTTGCTAGTCTTCGCTCTGCGTGGGGACAGGTGCCATCCATCACCCGAAGCTAAGCTGTGTAAGGCCGCTCTATAATCAGCTGCCTAGGCGGGCAGGCAAGTAACTCATCTGTTTCGTCCACTCGAATATTCCAGTGGGTGACCCACGAAATCGTGCTGCGCTGATCCCCATACCTTATCACTAACCTATCATGTACTGGTTATGCTGCGTGTCAAATATTTATAGGCATATATCATTGTTATATGGGAACTTAAATACACTACACCATCAGTTATATGGTATACCGTAAGTTTCATTGAAAGCTGGGTAAATTTACAGTTTCGGAGGGAGGTAGAATGGAGTGTCGTGGTGGAGAGATATTTCGGACCGCCCTCAGTTCAGCAAGGCCCCATTCACCACC